ACGTTTTGAGTTAAAAGGTTTTAAGGGTGATTTATTTACCTTCGAGTTTTGTTTTTTTTTAATTAAGGGTTGAAGTTTGTTTTTTTCAATAACAAAATGGCTACTTTGGGTGCTATTGAGAAAATTGAACATAATATTACAGGGGCTAAACTTAAAACTATTCAACCTTTACACACAGCCGCGTATGGTCAACAAGGTCCTCCGCGTCTAGCTAGGAAACAGGTACGTAAATTTTCGAGTTTTCAATTAGATACACAGTCGGACGAGTATGTGGAGAAAGTGAATGAAGTTAAACAACAGTTAAATTTGAGTGATTTAATAGCAGTGTGTAATATTTTGAATTTAGACTATAGTGGTGAAGAGAGTGAAGTGGCCGATCGCGTATGTGATTTTTTGAACGAATTATCAATAGAAGACGAAAAAGATGACGAGGAAGAACTTGACGAAGATGAAGTTGAAGACGACAACGACGAAGAAGAAGAAGAAGGTGAGGATGACGATCAAGAAACTCTAGCAGATTTAGCATGACGGCTAAAAACAAATAAAACAAAGAAGACAGATCATTATTTTGCATTGACGTTCCGTGATGTGGAAGAGAGCATCAGATCATTCAGTGGTAAGGATGACTATCCTATTAAGAAATGGATCGCAGACTTCGAAGAACTTGCCGATGTCACCGGTTGGAATGATCTACAGAAATTGATATTTGCTAAAAAGTCTTTGACTGGTTTAGCGAAGCTTTTCATACAGTCAGAAAGTGGCATTAAATCCTGGAAAACGTTGAAAAGAAAATTACTAGCTGAATTTGAAATAAAAGTCAGTAGCGCGCAAGTGCATAAACGACTTATGTCTAGAAAGAAATATCATACCGAAACAGTGCAAGAATATGCACTAATAATGCGAGAAATTGGTAGTCAAATACTTTTGGAGCCAGAGGTAATTATACAATATATTATAGATGGCATTCAAGATGAAACGTCAGTCAAAATAGCGTTATATGGAGCTAAAACTCTTAATGATTTTAAGGAGAAGATAAAATTGTATGATCAGATCAAAGCGAAGAAAACTACAAGCAAATTTATGGATAGAAGAAATCAGGACAGGAATGTTGAGGGAACAAAGTTTCGCAAAAATTTTAATAACGAAGAAAAGAAAACTGGAAAACTAATGAAATGTTTTAATTGTGGCAGACAAGGTCATAAATCCAGTGACTGTCCAGACAAAACAAAAGGCGTCAAATGTTTTAACTGTAATGCCTTTGGGCATATTTCCACCAAGTGTCCTAAGAAAAATGTTAATGCTTCGGCTGGAAATTCAGCGATGAATGTTATTGAAGCTATACCAAAGAATGAAGTCCAATTAAGAATTTCAGGAATATTGTTGACAGCCTTATTAGACACAGGTAGCGATATTTCCGCAATAAGAAAGGACGTTTACGATGAAAATCTCATGAATATTTCACTGGATGAAGATACGATTTTTATAAAAACAATTGGTCACAATAGGATTGAAACTCTGGGATCGTTTAGTCAAGATGTGTTAGTAAATGATGAGGAAGTAAAATTGAAGTTTCACGTGATTCCTACGGAAGCGTCGAGTTTCAAGGCTATCATAGGGACTAACATTCTGTCTCAAATGAATGTTTCCATAACTGAAGATGGAATTCTGTTAATTAGGAAAGAGAAAGAGAATTTTCTTATGCAAATAACTGTAGCAGACAGAGACGAAATTAATCTGGATCATATTAAGAATTTAGAATACAAAAAAGAGCTGGAAAAGATAATTGGAGATTATCAGCCAGTAAAAACCAAATTAACAGATATCAAAATGAACATAATACTGAAAAAGGAGGAACCTATATATCAAAGTCCACGAAGGTTAGCTGCACCAGAGAAGGAGGTAGTCGAAAAGCAAATCAATGAATGGTTAGAGGAAGGTATTATACGACCAAGTGCATCCGACTACGCATGTCCCATCGTATTGGTAAAAAAAAGAGATGGACAAATAAGACTATGCTGTGACTACAGAAAACTAAATAAAATCATAGTCTAAGATCGTTTTCCTCTTCCATTGATAGAAGACGTTTTGGATCAGCTCCAAGGAGCTAGGTACTTTAGTACAATTGACCTTAGGAACGGATTCTTTCACGTGCCAGTGGCTAACGAAAGCATCAAGTACACGGCGTTTGTGACTCACAATGGTCAATATGAATTCTTGAAGTGTCCTTTTGGCCTTTGCAATAGTCCCTCAGTCTTTCAGAGGTTTATTGCCCACATTTTCCGAGATTTGGCGAGGCAAAACGTAGTAATGTACTACATGGATGATCTGATTGTACTTAGTAAGGACGAAAAGGAAGGAATTGAGAGACTTAAAATTGTGACGCAGATAGCTAAAGACTTTGGTTTAGAAATAAAGAAAAAAAAGTGCCAGATATTAAAGACAAGAGTGGAGTTCTTAGGTTTTATAATAGAGGAAGGACGAGTAATGCCATCTGAAGGCAAAACTTTAGCAATAAAACGATTTCCTAAGCCCACAATGACTAAGCAAATACAATCTTTTCTTGGATTGACAGGTTATTTTAGGAAATTCGTTTCATCCTATTCTTTGATCGCAAAACCACTTAGTGATTTGTTGAAGAAAGACAGTACTTTTCAATTTGGAGTTAAAGAAGAACAGGCGTTTAACAGACTCAAGGAATTATTAATTTCTTATCCGGTGTTGCACATTTATAAACAAGGCAGCGAGACGGAGTTGCATACTGACGCCAGTAAATTTGGGTATGGTGCTTGCTTAATGCAAAGATCGGAAGAAGATAATAAGTTCCACCCAATTTACTTTATGAGTAAGAAAACAACTCCGACAGAAGAGAAGTATACCAGCTATGAATTAGAAGTGCTTGCTGTTATATTTGCAGTCAAAAAATTCAGAGTATACCTTTTGGGTCATAAATTCAGAATCATCACTGATTGTTCTGCATTTCAACGAACGATGGATAAGAGAGACCTCACGACTAGAGTGGCAAGATGGGCTCTTCTATTGGAAGAATACGATTATGAAATCGTTCATCGAAGGGGTAATCAAATGTCGCACGTGGATGCGCTTAGTAGGTACCCAGTGAACACTATGGTTATCACAGAAATATTAAGTGAAGAAGACGGAATTCTAAAACGTATACAGACGGCACAAAATAACGATGATTATATAAAGACTGTGAATAAAATTCTTCAGACAGGACAGAATCACGAGGACTATTTTCTCAAGAACGACATACTTTACAAATATGAAGAAGGACGTGAATCTTTAGTGGTTCCTAAACACATGCAGATGGAAATTATTCGAAAAGCTCATGATATTGGACATTTTTCCGTAGCTAAAATAGAGGAAGTGGTAAAAAGAGAGTTCTTTATCCCAAAATTAAAAGAAAAGATAACGACCTGCGTTAAGAATTGCGTAGCATGGATTTTAGGTAGCAAGAAGGAGGGGAAGAAAGAAGGATTCTTACACCCATTGTCAAAAGTTGAAGGACCTTTACATACATACCACCTTGATCATCTGGGACCGCTACCAAGTACCAATAAGAATCATAAACATATTCTGGTAGTTATCGATGACTTTTCAAAGTTTGTGTGGCTCTATACTACGAAATCTACTACCACGAAGGAAGTGATTGATCGCCTGTCTAAACAACAACAGATTTTTGGTAACCCAGCTCGGATTATCACAGACAGAGGAACAGCCTTTACGTCAGAGGAATTTGAAAGCTATTGTGTAGAAGAAGCAATCAAGCATGTGCTAATTACTACAGGAGTCCCTCGTAGTAATGGGCAGGTGGAGCGAATTAATCGAATAATTATACCAATATTGACGAAATTGAGTTTGGAAGATCCAAGTAAGTGGTTTAAATTTGTGGACAAAGTGCAGAAAGCCTTAAATTGCATATACCAGAGGAGCATTGACACCACACCATTCGAAGTTCTAGTGGGAACTCGTATGAGAAATCGGGAAGATATTCTTATTAAAGATTTCGTGAAGACGTGGTCGTGAAGACGTACCTATACTTAGTTGTGAAGTTGTTATTGTGATTTTCCGTGCCAATTGTATATTTATCAATGACGTATTCATCTGCCATCTAATCTATCTATTCTTCGTAAATATTATTAAAATTCCTTATATTTTCAATGGACCGTTACGTTTGATTTTCTGCTTGCCCCAAAATACCCCTAGACAACGATAAAAATCCTACAATATCATTGTTAAGTTTTTACCTGATAAATCTTATAATATCTATTTTTGAAATATAAATATTATATTTTAATTTTTTTTATCTAATTGTGGGCCTCCATTTTGTGTGATTGGTAGTTTCACGTTTTTCTGAGGTAAGTCAATTCAGATTTTTGGGCTAATAAATAGGTACTGCTGCTCTGGTTTTCAGAATCAATTGTTAGTGTGCGAATATTGGACCATTTGCTCTAAATAGAGTTGGTGAAAACCAAATTTGTGCATCCATCCCCATAAACTCTTTATTGAATCCAGGCAGAGGCCTGTATAGCCATTTTCTGTTTGACTCCTTCAATTATTATTATCTTCTCGAAGAGAAGAGTGTTGAAAAAGGGTGTAATTTTCTAAAATAAAAATCCAGACAGGTCAAAAAAAATTAATTTAAAAACTTTTAATTAAAACATCTCAAGAATTTTGACATATTCTGGATTTGATTGATTTCACTCTCAGGTTTATCTTGTAGTGCCTGTGGTGGCTACTTTAACTTAAAAGGAAAATTTTGTCTATTTGGGGGAGAATCTAGAGATTTGATTTCTTATTTTTTGTTTCATTTGGTTCATATTCTTAGCAAATATACATATCATTTATCAAGCATGTCAATTGAAACACGTTACTCCATTAATAGCATATTTAGTCACGACACTTTTTTGCCTTGAAACTTAAACTACGATGTGTTAGAATTTCAAAGTAATGAATAAAACGAGCAAATGAATCAAATGTACCTGTCCAGTATCCTTGTTGAATTTGAACAGTCTTATTCCGGGGTTGTTGGAGCCTAAATGATTTCTTTTTGGAGTAATAGAAGGGGCGAGCATTGCCCAAGATACAGGTCTTCCTGAAAAAAAACAAAAAATATTTAATTTTTGATGTTACTCGATCATTTGGGAATCTCAAATTATCGAATTTAACAACTTTGAGTAGATAGATAATCAGTTTAATCGTACTGAAAGTAATATATAATCAAAAGTGGATGACCAATGCGAATTTATGCGTCACCAGAATTCGTCTAGAGGGTAAATATATACCTACATGCTTTAAAACTTACCATTTCTATCATGAATCACCCTAAAACTATCGGAATGCAAATGTCCAAAAAACTGACCAACAATAATGGCCGAGTAGTTTCGAACAATGTCGATGTACTTTTGATTGTGATAGTCCGTGTAGGCGCCGTGAGCCGGATGAAATAGGCCCTTTTGACGTTCGTCCCATCCTGGGGCTACATGACCAACCAGATAAACCTACAAAATATTTTCTTATAACAAAAAAAAACAAATTTGGTGCAACATAAATTAAGAAACCGTAGACATAGAAAGCAATTTTGATTGGTTGAATTTACTACTGTATAGCCAATATGTATTTTTATTACAATATGAAACAAAAAGCTAGGTCGCCATCTTGCTATAGATAATTTTTTATGTTATTGTATGTTATTAAATAGCTATTTATACAATAAGTTCACAGTAACGAGGTTTGTATTTTCTGCAGTTGAAGGCTGTCATCTTTGCATGTATTGGTAATTTGCTTTAAAAAGTGTCATTCGGTTTTTTTTTATAATCAAAATCGCCTAGAGTATTTCAAAATACAGATACAATTACAAAAGTATTTTATAAAAACGTACTGTTTGCATATTTTTCTGGAACTTGTACAAAACTTTCTCCAGCCATTTCCATTGTTTGTTAGCATCTTCATCAATCTCGTTTCGTTTCATTAAATTTGTATTCAGCACGACAATCTGCAGTTTTAAGAGTTTCCGTTCTATTATGTAGTAGCCTCCTGGAAAATAGGGATATATCATCTATTTACTCATAATATCAAAAAGTTGCAAAAATTCATCTCTCCTATCAATAATATCTGTACCTCAGAGGTAAATTGTATTAAGGCCACGTTAATGGACGCCATATTTAAATTTAGTTTTTGAAAATGACGACTGCGTCACTCTACACATACGGTTCAATTTTTATTTTTTGTCCAAAACAAAATCTGTTTGTCGGTGAAACACTTAGTGACAGAGAAAGACAAATATACAATTATTATGATGCTCCCAATGTAGCTTGTGGCGTCATTGTTCCGCGAGTCCGTTGTGTTCAACCCTGGATGGCTCAACTATTGTGTACAACCCTGGCGGCCTGACGTGACGTGACAGAAGACAGCTGTCCCAGGTTGTTGTTTACTTCTAGTCAGCTTGTTGCCGCGCAATTATGATATCGTGTTGTTGTTGTTAACAAAATAAAGTATTTCGATTTATTTGTATGTTCAGTGGCCAGAATTAAACCGAGTTATTAGTAAAACAGTGTTTTCATTCGCTGGTGATATATCAAGGAAACACATAGCAGTAGTAGCTATAACTGGTGACCCCGACGTGATATATCTCCGCGTACCACTCGGCCTCTAACCTAAAAGACGTGTCTGACTACTAAAAAAATCAAGATGCAAAGCAATTTCGACTCCTCAGTAGATCCTGATCAGCAATTGGCTGCAAACAGCTCTTTTACCAACCAGCAACCAGACAGGAGTTCGTCAGTGAGTATTCCTATGCCTCAACCTTCTGGCCCTCACGGCAGTACAGCATTTGATCCCGCGGTGCATTTTAATCCAACAAATCACCCGGTGAGCTATCAGCAAGCATATGCCCAACCAGTAGTAAATTCGTTGCCAGCCCCCATGATGCTCAACCAGCAGCAGAGTTATGCCATTGACGCAGTTTACAACTGCAATCTGCCACCCTTTTGGCGTTCTCATCCAGACCTATGGTTCCTGCAGATTGAATCAGTCTTTCAAGCCCACCGTATACAGTCCGATAGCACCAAGTACTATCAATTGGTAAAATCACTGGACCCGGACACAATCACGGAAGTTGCAGACATCTTGAAGGCTCCACCACCTCAAGATAAGTACCAAAATCTCAAGTCTAACCTAATAAGTAGACTAACAGCCTCCGAAAACTCTCAGATGCACAAACTGCTCACTGATCTAGAACTAGGTGACCGAAAACCCTCACAGTTGCTTCGTGAAATGCGAGCCCTTGCCGGCAATCGTGCTACAGAAGACGTGCTTCGCATACGATGGCTGGCCCTTCTGCCTGTCAGCATTCAGCACTTGCTGAAAATTTTCAAGGCCAATTCACTTAACGAACTAGCTGCTGCAGCTGATGAGCTCATGACAAACATCCCTGGTGGCAGTGTCATGGCCGTCAACCAGAGCTCTCGCCAGCATGGACATGGTTCTTCAGTAGCCTCCGAGCTGAACGAACTCAGACAAGCCATCACAGAACTAACCATTGCTCAGAAGGACCTCACTTCTGCCATCAGACAGAGTCTCACCTCTACCAGTCGACAACCACGTGAGCGTTCTGTCACTTCTGGAGAATGCCGATATCATCGAAAATTCGGTGCCCGGGCCCAAAAATGTGTCTCAGCTGCCACTAGCATCTCCGCGCCAGGAAAACTAAATATGCTGTCGCCTGTTCAGGTGGTAAGCGACAGCAATGTCAACAGCACCTGCCTCTCATCTAAAGAAAGTCGCCTGCACGTCATAGACAAGGTCACTGGCATGAAGTTCCTTATCGACAGTGGTTCCGTTGTATCCTTGATTCCAAGAAGCTTCTTTCAACGAAAACTTCTGCCTGCTGACCTCATGCTATATGCAGCTAATGCAACAGTTATCAAAACGTATGGTCAACACTTTCTTAACCTCAATTTTGGACTCCGCAGATCCTTCAAGTGGGCATTTATCATTGCAGACGTCAAATCAGCAATCATAGGTGCCGACCTGCTTTCACATCATGGCCTCCTTCCTGATTTAAAGCACAAGCGCCTTCTGGACTCTCTCACCTCACTGTCTTCTCCTGCTGAAATGCATGAAACCGAACTTGATACTGTTTCCACTGTCAATAATGCAGAATATGCACCTCCTACACTCAGTCAACCCTATAGCAAGTTGCTGGAAGAGTTTATTGACATCACCCGTCCAAGGTCAGCCCCATCAGTGGACGCCCCTACAGGAACTCATCACCACATAGTCACCACTGGACCGCCAGTCAATGACCGTCCACGTCGGCTAAACTCAGAGAAACTAAAGATTGCTAAAGAGGATTTCGACCTCCTGTTGCATCATGCTGTTATCCGTCCCTCCAGCAGTCCATGGGCCAGTCCTCTACACATGGTCCAGAAAAACCAAGGTGGATGGCGTTCCACAGGTGATTTTAGGAGGCTCAATTCCCAGACTGTGCCAGATCGGTACCCCATACCACTACCAGAAGACATCTTTCAGCGGCTGCATGGGAAAAGTGTCTTCACTGTCATTGACCTGGTTCGAGCTTACCACCAAATTCCTGTAGCACCAGAGGACATACCCAAAACAGCGATAACTACTCCTTTTGGGCTTTTTGAGTTTCTGGGTATGCCTCCAGGCCTGCGCAATGCCACTCAGACATTTCAACGTCATATGGACAACCTTCTCCGTGGTATTGACTTCGCAGCATGCTACATTGATGACTTGATAGTGTTCTCGGATTCCCATGAGGAACATCTGCAACATCTACGCAAAATCTTTAATGTACTGCGTGAGAACAAACTCACTATCAACCTCAGCAGGTGCCAAATCAACAAGTCAGAAGTTATGTACCTCGGCTACTCCATCAACAAGCTCGGATACAAACCACCTGATTCCAAGATCCAAGCCATCGCTTCTTACCCCAAGCCAGAGACCATCTCTGACCTTCGTAAGTTTTTGGGAATGCTCAATTATTACCGTCGCTGTATTCCAAAGGCCGCTGAACTTCAAGCCCCTCTCAATGCATTTATGAAGGGTGCCAAGAAAAAAGACAAACGGCCCATCCCTTGGACACCCAGCTCAGAGAAGGCCTACCAAGACTGTGTAGAAAGCATTGTCAAAGCGACTTGTACCAGCTTCATCTCACCCTCTGCAAGTCTCGCACTCGTCACTGATGCCTCGGACTTCGCCATTGGAGCTGCACTTGAACAGCTGATCGACGACTGCTGGAAGTCCATAGGTTTTTTTTCCCGCAAGTTGAGTCCCACCGAAACGCGATACAGCACCTACGATCGCGAGCTGCTAGCGATTTTCGCTGCAATAAAGTTCTTTCGTCACCAGCTGGAAGGACGCCAGTTCATCATCAAAACTGATCATCGCCCACTGGTATACGCCTTTGCTCAGCGCGCTGAAAAAGCATCCCCCAGACAGCTCCATCAACTGGACTTTATTTCACAATTCAGCACAGAAATCGTCTATGTCAAGGGAGAACACAACGCCGTTGCTGACGCCCTGTCTCGTATTAACGCTATCTCCATGCCAACGTCACTGTCTCCTAAAGCCATCGAAGCCGCACAGCTTGAAGACCAAGATACGCCACAAGAATCATCGCTCAATCTGCAACAGCTTGTTATTGAAAACGCCAACGTCCTCTGTGATATCTCTTCAGATCGCATCAGACCCTACATTCCGACAAGTCTCCGACGCAAAGCTTTTGATGTTGTGCATGGTTTGGCACACCCCAGCGGCAGAGTCACTGCTCGAAGCCTCAAAGAAAAATTTGTTTGGCCTGGAATCAAGAAGGACGCCCTCCAGTGGTCCCGCCAATGCATTCAGTGTCAAAAATCCAAAATTCAACGACACAATCGTCTCGCACCACAGCACATCACCGTACCTGACAACAGATTCGAGCATATTCACCTAGACCTCATCATTTTACCACCAGTCAACAAATTTCGTTACTGCTTAACCATAATTGATCGATTTTCTAGATGGCCTGTTGCAGTACCCCTCCAGAACATGGAAGCTGACACCGTCTCGTCTGCTCTCTATGTCAATTGGATTTGCAACTACGGAACGCCACTATCCATCACAACTGACCAGGGCACGCAATTTGAATCTTCACTATTTTCGGCTCTTGCACGCCTTGTAGGAGCGCGGGTAATCCACACCACGCCCTATCACCCGCAATCCAATGGCATCGTAGAGCGCTTCCATAGGACTTTGAAGGCAGCCCTTATGTGTCAAGCACCCACGCCCTGGACGGAAGTGCTTCCGACCGTTCTTCTGGGTCTGCGTACGTGCCTGAAAGAAGACCTGAATGCCTCACCAGCGGAGCTCCTTTATGGGACACCCCTGCGTATACCTGGTGAATTCTTCACCTCTGAGTCACCCCCAGCTGATCCCCAAGTCTTCCTCGAAAAATACCGGGACCACATCAGGAAAGTCCGCCCAACACCTACGGCTCACCATATCAAATCTCGCTGCTTCATCCTCAAGGACCTCGCAACTTGCAGTCATGTCTTCCGCCGAGTGGACTCTGTTCGTCGCCCGCTCGAACCGCCTTACACTGGCCCGCATGAAGTCGTCAAGAGAATAAATGACCGAGTGTACAGCATTCGAATCAATGGCGTTGAGAAGACTGTCTTTGTGGACGCCCTGAAGCCAGCCTACACCCTTAAACCCGATACCGTTTCATCCACCCTGGAGAATCACCCAGCGTCATCCTTCACCATGGACCGCCCTCTTCGCACTTACTCAAAAAAGAAGGTTTCGTTCCTCCCACAAGTGGCTTCGTCACTGGGAGGGGAGTAGATGTGGCGTCATTGTTCCGCGAGTCCGTTGTGTTCAACCCTGGATGGCTCAACTATTGTGTACAACCCTGGCGGCCTGGCGTGACGTGACAGAAGACAGCTGTCCCAGGTTGTTGTTTACTTCTAGTCAGCTTGTTGCCGCGCAATTATGATATCGTGTTGTTGTTGTTAACAAAATAAAGTATTTCGATTTATTTGTATGTTCAGTGCC